AGGCCTTGGGGACCTTAGACGCCGATCCCCACCGGTATCCAGGGCCAGGGGTACCTTTGACACATATTGACCCTTCGCTCTCCTTGCCCCATTGAGTTTCAATGTGGATACCTATCTCTTATGCTGCTGCCCCAAACCTCCCCATTTCCAGCTCCCAAATGTTGCCAAGTGTCAGAACCCATGTTTGATCAGAGCATTTCTGGCCCATATCCCATTCTCCTGCCACCTCCTGCCTCCAAACCAGGCAGCCTGGGGTTTCCATGGAAACACAATGGTACATTAGGACCAAAAGAAGGATGCTACGGTGAGGAGAGGAGCCAATCAGGGAGTTATGCCAGGAAACCCAGGTGACTGGCTCACAGTTTGAAGCAAGGTCTATTTGTGGCCTGGAACGGTTGGAAGGGGGCAGGAGATCTTGGTAGCTGCCCCCCACCCACCACCACCACTCCCCAGCCGCCATGTGACTGCAGACTTGAGATCAGGAGAGGGAGAAGGGGAAGCAGGCCCTGCCCTTTGGATAGAGGGGGTGGGAGTTCCTGCCCCCCAAGGCCAGTCTGAATTCAGAAGCTTGTCTCAGTGTCGGAGGATGGGCTCACTTCAGGCCCAAGAGATGAGTGCCCAGGGAAATGCGCAGGGGGAGGCAGGTACCATCGGTACCATCGCTGACTGGGACTAGTGTCACCGGTACCTCGGTATCGATACTAACTGGTATCTGGGTGCTAGGCAAGGTGTGGAAAATGGGCTCAACGAGTGTTCAATTACCCCCCCCCCGATTTTCCTGGTCTAGGTGTGGCACAGGAGAACCCCCCCCAACACCAGGCAAGCAGCAGTGGGTGCCCTCCATATGGAGCACTCCAGATCACTTTGGGAGCTCCCTCAGTCCAGGCCCTGGCACTCCACAGCAATGCCCAGTGCCATGAGCTTGGCCAATGATGAGCAGGCCCCTGGGGAAGGCACTGGGCCAGGCTCTTGCCACCAGGCCTGTGGGGCAGCACTTACTGGTCTTGGTCACCTCCCGCAGGTTGAGGTAGTCCAGGAAGGGCACCGCCAGGCCCTGTCCCAGGAAGATCTTCACCAGCTTCGTGGCTACGTCCTGCCGGCTCTCCACTGAGCTGATCTCCTCCAGCAAGGCCAGTGGGCTGACGTCCTCCTCCTGCCGCACAGCAGGGCAGCGATGCTGTCTGGCCAGCGTGCATCTGCCCCAGCCAGGGAGACCCCCAGAGTCCCCTCACCAGAGCCCCCTCTGCCCCACACCAAGAGGGGCCCCTCTGCATCCCCCGACCCCAGAGCCCTCTCTGCCCCACACCAAGAGGGGCCCCTCTGCATCCCTCGACCCCAGAGCCCTCTCTGCCCCACACCAAGAGGGGCCCCTCAGCGTCCCCCGACCCCAGAGCCCTCTCTGCCCCACACCAAGCGGGGCCCCTTTGCCTCACACAGGGAGATCCTCTCTTCCCTCCAGACCCGCTGTGCCCCCACACACCAGGAGGGTCTGTCTCTGGCCCCCATCCCAGGAGGCCCGGAAGCTTTCAGACAGGTGTGGGGTGCAGCGGGGATGGAAGCTGACAGGCCACTCCGATCGCGTGGCCAGGCTGAACCTGCAGGACCACAGGCTCAGCTGAGCACCCCACCCCTTCCCCAGTTCCCTGCCCCTCTGCAGCAGAGCCAGTCCCTTAGCCCAAGGCCCTGGACAGGACCCTGCCTACAGCTCCAGCCTGGGCTCCTCCTACTCCTGGCACCAGTGGCGTAGCCAGGTTCTAAGAGCAAGGGGAGCAAACATAAAAAAGGCGCCCCCCCCGGCTCCTCCTCTGGCCACGCCGTGCCCCCCCCTGGCTGGCTCCTCCGGCCACACTGCGGCCATGCTGCGCCCCCCCTCGCTCCTCCGGCCGCGCTGCCCCCCCATGGCTGTAGAGGAAGGCTGGCAGAGGACAGGGGGGTTGAGGGGAGGTGGAGGGGAGGGATGTAGCGGGAGGGTGGCAGGGGACAGGGGGTTTGAGGGGAGGTGAAGGGGAGGATGTGGAGGGAGGGGGACAGGGGGTTCGACTTGAGGGGAGGTGGAGGGGAGGATGTAGGGAGGGTGGCAGAGGACGGGGGTACGAGGGGAGGTGAAGGGGAGGGAAAGGCAGGGGCACGGGGTACATGGGAGGGGTATACGGGGTATGGAGCTTGGGGAGGGGTTACCGGGGATGGGAGTGCCATGGGCTGGGGTCCCCGGGGCTCTCTGTGCAGAGGGGGCTGGAGCTGCCCCCGGGACCGGGAGAGCCTGGGAGTCCGCTGCCTGCTCTTCCGCTGCTTCTTTCCGGGGCCCGGCCGCTAGGCCCGGCCCAGCCAGCAGCAGAGAGCAGCAAACCCCGCTGTCACTGCCTCGGAGGGGCTCGCCGCGAGCAGGGCCAGCCCAGGCTCAGCGCTGGCGCTACCCCTTGGGGGGTGGGGGCAGAAGGCAGTGAGCCCCTCCAGGCGCGGTCCGAGCGAGCTGCAGCCCAGCTTGCCCGCTCAGCCCGGGGGCGCTGCCCTGTCTGGGGCTGCTGGCGGAGCCTGGCTGTGGGTGGGTCGCGCTGAGAGGCCGCGGCGGGTGGGGGGAAGTGCTCTCCCCTCCTCGGGGGAGCTTTATTCCAGTGAGCAGAGGGCAGCGCCGAGACTCCTGCTGGGAGTGACCGGCCGCGGGTCCGCCCGGTGTGGCTGCCACGAGGAGGCGGGGGAGACCCTCCCTGCCCCGGGGTCACCCCGGGACCCGGTCAGTGCATCAAAGTTGTCTGGGGGGGGGGGGGGAGTTGCGGGCCGCCATGCTGCGCCCCCCTCGCTCCTCTGGCCGTGCCGTCCCCTCCCCATGGCTCCTCCAGGTGTGCTGCCCTCCCTTGCCTGCAGGAGCCCAGCGCCGCCGGACAGACCAAGCTTCAGAGCGGAGCGTGGGCTCCGCTTTTGGAAAGTGTGCTAAGGGGAAGCGGCTGCTTCCCCTGCACCCCACTAGCTACGCTACTGCCTGGCACCCCCTCCACCTTCCCCTGGGACGAGCGCCCGCCTGCTGCCAGCTAACGCCTGCCCCTCCTGAAACTGCCTCCTGCCCCCAGCAGCGCTCTCCCTTCCTCCCACGGCTTGCAGGGCAGGGCAGAGGGCACATCTCACCCCATGGCCGGGGTAGCCCTGGGTGAGGCCAGGGTGCTACAGAGGTGTATGGTCCCGATGTGTCCTACTGGCTTCTGGGCAGCCCAGCATCACGCCAGCAGGAGGCTCCATCACCTCCGAGGGCACCCGGCATCCGGGAAGCTGGCTGGCCAGTGGGCAGCCCCAGAGCCAGGGCTGAAGCCTGTTGCTGGCAGGACACAGGGTAGTGGCTTGAGGAGCCCACCCAGGGGCTGTGCCACTGTTACCCCTGCACTGCATGGCCCCTAGGGCTGGGCTGGGCTTGTCACTGAGCCTGGCTCGCAGCACCTGGCAGCCCGAGGAGAGCTGGCTGCTGTACTCAGAACCTGGGCGTGCCCCGGAGCCCAGCCACCAAGGGCTGGAGCCTGCAGAGCGAGCCCAGGCCGGGAGCACCTAGAGCTCTGGCCTCCAACCCCCAGCACACGGCCTGCACTACCAGCAGGCTAGAGGGGACTGGCGTCTCAGAGAGCTCACAGCCCCCCGAGGCTGCCCCGTCACTGACTGGCTGCTGCATCGCCAGAGGGGTGTCATGACTCTCCAGGGCACGGGTGGGGCCAGCGAAATCAGAACAGCCCATGGAGAAATCGTGGCTGGGGGCAAGCCCAGACTCACTGCCACTGGCTATTGAACCTCCTGCACCATCTCTGCCACCTGCCCTGTGCTGCTGTCCTAACAACCCAGTGTCAATAGCAACCCACGGACCAGACCCCGCCCCCCCGCTCACCCTGATGGCCCCCAGGTCCCAACAGGCCCTGGCCAGAGGCAGTGACACGCAGCCGGTGACCAGCCATCCAGGCAGGGCCTCAGCGGCCTGCCACTGCGGCTTCAAAGCATTGACACATCAAAAGTTTGCGTGCACACACACCCGCACGTGCACACACCCGCACACATGCACATGTCCACGTGCACATGCACATGCATACAGGCTGGGGGACAGCTGCTCTCTGCTTGAATCTTCATTCAGATTAACATGCCTGTCGGGTGCTACCCCACTCCTGCGGAGCCATCTGGGGCGATGCCGTTGCAATGGTCCCTGGGCAGCACTGGTGGGTGGCTCAGTGCTACCAGGGCTCCACAGGGATGACAAGGGACAGATCGTTGCAGGTCCCAGAAGGACGTGATGAAGTGCAGGCTAAGGAGGAAATGCTGCAGGCCTGCAGGGCAGAGGCGCTGCTATAGAGGGCTCAGGCACAACTGCTGGGTGGGGTGATCAGGTGTCCGGTTGAAAAGGGACCCTGGCGGCGCCGGTCAGCACCGCCGACCAGGCCATGAAAAGCCCAATCGACGGTGCTGAGGAGGAAGGCAGGCTAGTCCCTACCTGTTCTGGGGCACCGCCCTGCGCCTAAGAAGTGGCCAACAGGTCCGGCTCCTAGGCGGAGGGGCCACGGAGCTCTGCACGCTGCCTGGGCACTGGCTCCACACTGGAGCTGGGGGGGGCGGTGCCTGCGGGTGAGAGCAGCGCACGCCATGGAGCCTTCTGCCTCCACACCTCCTGCCCAGGACCCGGACCTGCTGGCTGCTTCCGGGGTGCAGCACAGAGCCAGGACAGGCAGGAGCCTGCTTTAGCCCCTCTGCGCCGCTAACTGGGATCTGCCCGAGGTAAGCCTGCACCCCAACCCTGAGCCCCAACCCCCTGCCCCAGCCCTGAGCCCCCCCTGCACCCCATCGTTTTGTGCGATTAGAAAGTTGGCAACCCTACTGCTGGGGGACAGACACTGCAGCAGCAAGGAACTGTTCACATCCCCCTGGTGGCATGAGTGAGGCGCCTGGGAACTAGAAAGTAAACTGAGGCTGCCCACTGCTTCCCCTCCTCCCTTCCATCTCCCCCACCCCCCATTCCCCTCCTTCCCGCACCTCCCGCATCCCGGCCCTGCCATTCGCCCCCAACCCTCCTCCTCGCGTGTGCGGTCCGCATGTGGCTTGGACGCAGACACGGTCAGGTGGCCGTGCACAACGAGCTAGGCGGCTGGTACCCACCTCGGCAGGGCACAGGATGGATTCCACCAGGAGCTCAATCAGGGGCTGGTAGTACATGGAGGGCAGGATCCTGTCCTCAGCCAGTCGGACTTTCAGCCGCAGAGCCCCCAGCTTTCCTCTGCAACGACACCCGAGACACCACCCACGTGGGCAAGTGTGCGTGGAATGAGTGCAAACCAGCACGTGCAACCTGGTTCTAGCCAGCTCAGTCCTCCAGCACAGCAACCAGAATCTACAGCTAGTACCAACAAAAACCCAGAGCCAAGAACTCCCAAGATGAGCCTGATCCTCCTTAACCTCTCCCCCTCTGCTGCTCTCCTTTCCTTCCAGCCCAGTGGCACGGGGTAAAACCTCAGCCTTCCCTTGGCGGGGCTGTGCCTATTGCGATCAGCGCCCCGCCCAGCACCACCCCGTGGCACTGGTGTGCTCCTGTCCCACCACTGCTCTGCCTCGGCACGGGCCCTGTGGTTGAATCACGCTGGCGTCAGCGCATCCAGCGACCTTTCCATCCATCCGGCCAAGCCTTCCAAGCTCCTATTTCAAGGCAGGCTGAATGGCAATACGGGGAGCGGTCACCCAGAGCTGGAATACTGCAGCACATTACAGACATGGGCAGCGGGTTCTATGGGCCTGTGGTGCCTGGGGACCAGGAATACTCTTGATGCCCAGGCACCTCGGCCCTGCCTTCCATCCCCGGACGCCCCCACACGGCCCCCAGGCCATTTAATACAGCCCAGGGCACCCACTCACCACCAGCAGCCCCCGCGCGCAGCCCCCAGGCCATTTAATACAGCCCAGGGCACCCACTCACCACCGGAAGCGCAGCGGAGCTGAGCGGCTTCCTGCCTGCTCGCTCCACGTGGCTGCCGGCCCCTCTGCGGCCCCTGGGTGGGGTGTCTCGCCCCAAGCGCCCCTGCGGCCAATGGAAAGCTGCGGGGGCAGTGGCTGGGGTAGCAGCGTGCGAAGACCCCCAGCCTGCCCTGCCTAGGAACCCCAGGTAAGCGCTGCACCCCCCCCACCCCCTCCCAGAGCCTGCACCCCCACCCCTTTCCCACACACCCCCTCCGGCCTCCAAACTCCCTCCCAGAGCCTGCACCCCTCCCCCTTCCCACACACCCCTCCTGCCCCCAAAGTGCCTCCCAGAGCCTGCACCCCCTCCCTCCGCACCCCCTCCCACCCTCACACCCCCTCCTGCACCCAAATGCCCTCCCAGAGCCTGCACCCCTCACCCCTCCTACCTTGCCCCTTGCCCCAGCCCAGAGCCTACACCTAAACTCTGTTCCAGAGCCTGCACCCCCTCCCTCCACCCCCTCCCATCCCCAAACTCCCTCCCAGAGCCTGCACCCCCAGCCCGGAGCTTGAACCCAAACTCTGTCCCAGAGCCTGCACACCTCATCCCCTGCCCTAGCCCAGAGCCTGCACCCAGCACCCAAACTCCATCCCAGAGCCTGCACCCCACCGCCTTCCCACACACCCTCTCCTGCCCCCAAACTCCATCCCAGAGCCTGCACCCCACCGCCTTCCCACACACCCTCTCCTGCCCCCAAACTCCATCCCAGAGCCTGCACCCAAACTCCATCCCAGAGCCTGCACCCCACCGCCTTCCCACACACTCTCTCCTGCCCCCAAACTCTGTCTCAGAGCCTGCACCCTAGACCCCCCTCCCCGACCCAAACTCCCTCCCAGAGGCCAACCTCTTGCCTGTCCTGCACCCAAACTCCCTCCGAGCCTGCACCCCAATCCCCTGCCCCAGCCCAGGGCCTGCACCCCAGACCTCCTCCCCCCACCCAAACTCCCTCCTGGAGCCTTAGTCAGGTGCGGGGGGGAGCGGGCTCTGGGCGTTCTGGGCACCACCACCATTTCTACAAACCTTCTGCCCCGATTATAGAGTATCCCTCTGCTGCCCCAGTGCCTCCTGTGCCTGATCCACACCCAGACTCAAAGCTCCCAGTCTCCACGGGCTCATCTTAGAGCTCGCGAGGGGCCCTGCTGGTGTGCTGTGAGGGAAGCGAGAGCTCAGTGGGGAGCCCCAGTACTGTAGTTCTGGGCACTTTGCTTTTGTGTTACTATGGCCCAAGGGACCCGGGCAGGGAATAAAATGCCCATGTTAACTCCATTTAAAGACAGCCCCTTAACCCCTTCAGCACCCTGCAGATGCTCAGTGCACATACGGGAAGGTGGCAAGGGGTGACCTGGTGGATGAACAAACCCCTCCCGACTGCCTTTGAGGAAGGGCAGCATCACTAAACCTCCTTTTTCAGTTGGGGAAACTGAGGCACAGAGCAGGGGCCTGACTTGCCCATGGTGCACATGCAAGTCAATGACAGAGCTGGGAATAGAACACAGGAATCCTGAACCCCCACCCCCTGACCTAAGCACTAGACACACCACCACTCCCCGCTGGAAATAGAACCCAGGAGTCCTGAACCCCCGCCCCCTGACCTAAGCACTAGACACACCACCACTCCCCGCTGGAAATGGAACCCAGGAGTCCTGACTCCCAGCGCCTGGTGTAACCACTGCTCCACGCTCCTCTCCCAGAGCTGGGACTAGGAGCCATGCTCACTCCTTCTCTTCCCTCCAGGGGTTACTGATGGCCCCAGCTCAAGGCTGACTGTTTACCCAGCATCCTCCTCAGCAGTGGGGAAGGGCAGGAGCCTGAACCAGCCTTTGGCAGGGGATCTCTGAAGGGCGTCCAGAGAGAACTCAACCTGTGTGGGACACAAAGAGAGGGACAGTAAGGGGGCAGGAGCTGCCAGCAGGGGGCAGTACTGCAGTGTCGGGGGAACCTCTTCCCATTGTCCCAGCCCCTGGCGATATAGGGGGGAAACTCCAGCCTTCACATTAGCTGCCAGTGTGGTTCATCCCCAGGCTGTTTCTCTGCCAGACTCTTAGAACACTTCCAGCTTCACGCTGCAGTGGCTCTGCCCCAGAACCCCTCCAGCCCCGTGCTCCAGCCCCGGCCCCCTCTGCCGAGCCGACGTGCTCCAGCCCCGGGCCCCTCTGCCGAGCCGACGTGCTCCAGCCCCGGGCCCCTCTGGGGAGCTGACGTGCTCCAGCCCCGGGCCCCTCTGCCGAGCTGACGTGCTCCAGCCCCGGGCCCCTCTGGGGAGCTGACGTGCTCCAGCCCTGGGCCCCTCTGGGGAGCCGACGTGCTCCAGCCCCGGGCCCCTCTGGGGAGCCGACGTGCTCCAGCCCTGGAAGCAGGAGGCTGAACGGATTCCACCCTCCACTTATACTCCCCCTACCCCACAGCACCAAAACAGGGGATCCCCAAATTAAAATGGGGCTTGTTTACCGGGTCAGGAATTCAGATCTCCCTGCAGCAGCTCCTGGGGCTGAAGGGACCTAAACCCAAGCAAGACGCACAGTAGGGCCCAGACACAGGCCGAGGGCTCCCCGCCTGGCACCAGGCTTTACACCAGCTTCCCTTGCTGAGCTGCTCAGATACCTAGAAACCGCGGCTGCCAGCCGCAAACTGCTCCATGCCCCTTGGAGTCTGTCTACACCTGGCAGCTGTGATAGATCCTCTTTGGGGGCCCAGACACTAGAGGGGGCAGGAGGGCAGAGGCACCCACAAGCGCAAGCACACGCACCAAGAACAGTTGCAAAACCTTTTCCTTTCACAAAGCTGTTAAGCCCTGTGACGTTATTGACCGTATAGATCATCGGTGCAACCACTGTTATATATTTGCAGCAAATATTGTACAAAGGTTGCTGTGTGAGGTGTCTATGGAAAGGTTATGATTTGCTGATTATGATCATGCTATCTGTATGGGTGTGTCATTTTTGTCGTTGAAGTTATGAATATTGGCTATGTACTTGTATATCAATGTGTTTGATTCTAAGGAGCCTCCGTGAAGCATTTGGTCAGCTTCTGGAGAAGGGACTAGTCTCAGTAAGGGCCCAATCAAGAAACACTTAATTGACAATGGACTTTGGCAGACGCCAATCCACATCTGAGCTGTCCTGGGAACATTCAAACTAACATGTAAACAATGGCGTCGGCCTGTAAAGAACTGAGTCATGCATGGACATGTGACTTGCCCATGTGACACCAATCTCCATCTTGCTGTGATCTTGCACAGGAGAACCAAGGGGTTTCCACCCACAAGAGAAAGCCTATAAAAGGCAGCTGCATCTCCTCCATCTTGTCTTCAATCCTGCTTCTTGTCTCTGGAGGGACTTTGCTACAAACTGAAGCTCTGAACAAAGGACTGAATGACCCATCCCAGTTGTGGATGTATTCCAGAGACTTGATTTGAACCTGCAGTTTATTCCATCACTGCTACAAGCCTGAATCAAGAACTTTGCCATTACTGTATGTAATTGATTCCATTTAACCAATTCTAGCTCTAATCTATATCTTTTTTTCCTTTTATGAATAAACCTTTAGATTTTAGATTCTAAAGGATTGGCAACAGCGTGATTTGTGAGTAAGATCTGACTTGTATATTGACCTGGGTCTGGGGCTTGGTTCTTTGGGATCGGGAGAACCTTTTACTGGGATATTGGTTTTCATAACCATTCATCCCCATAACGAGTGGCACTGATGGTGATACTGGGAAACTGGAGTGTCTAAGGGAATTGCTTGTGTGACTTGTGGTTAGTCAGTGGGGTGAGACCGAAGTCCTCTCTGTTTGGCTGGTTTGGTGCCTTGGTGTGCAAAGGAACCCCAACCTGGAGCTGTGACTGCCCTGCTCTGAGCAATTTGTCCTGAACTGACACTCTCAGAAGTGTCCCACTAAAGGCAGCATCGTTACAAGTCCTCTCTCCCCACTTGCTTTGCCCGGCTCTTCTGGCAGGAGGCTGGCCCAAGCCTTGCTGAGCCGCCACCCCCCGGTGGAATAGCAATCAGACAGGTTCTGCTTCCCCTGCCAGACAGAACCGCCGTGACATGGGGATCAAGTGAACTGAGCAGCCGGTTCAGGTCCCAGCTGCCGGCTCGTTCTGGCTGGTGTCAGGACACAGTGTTACGCACCCTGCACATATCTCCAAGCTGTACCCTTCCCCTCAATGATTCATGAGCATTTTCCTCTCTCTCTCTGACCTCTTCTCCTTGGACTTAATTCTCAGTCACCCTAAGGTCCCTTGTGCCACTCTGGCAGACTACACAGAGCATGGGGAGGGCCCCAGAGATGCCCCCTTGCTGGGGTAGAACTGGTATAAGTGACCTACACGAGCTCTGCTCTCAGCCCACGGGCACAAGGGCAGATCAGGGCTCAGAGCTGCTCTCCAGTTATTCACAGAGCCATGGGGGAGGGGGCATGGAAAGCAAAGCATGAGCTAGAGCAGCCCTGGGACAATGTTAATTTACACCAAAGGCCAGGCAGAATCCAGCAAGTGCCAGGAGGGCTTAGAACCAGCCTCACACACACACCCCGTCCTGTCCCCGCCCCCGAGCGCAGCAACAGAAGAGCTGAGAACCCAGCCTGGTAGGTCACTTTGCCTCCCCCTGCATCAAACTGACCAGCTGAGAAAGGGATCCGCTCTCCTTACAAGTCAGCAGGAGATTTGAGGCTGCAGCAGGCCTGTGTGCCACTGGCTTTCTCCCCCTCCAATCTCCTCGTCATCCCCCACCCTGATCAGAGCCACCAGCCCCCACGCTGGAGGCACTGAGGAGATGGCTGGAGCTGCTCACCCATCCCAGGAAGTCGTTCTTCCCCACCATGTCCCAGTCCCACACCTCCACGCTCACACGGGACCCCTTGGGTTCCTTTCCGGGCACCCCCTCCTCCAGGTCAAACTCCAGCACCTCATCCCAGTGCGGGAAGCGAGTCTTCTTAATGATCTGCAAGGGGAGAGAGAAAGGTGGCATGTCAGAGAGAAACGGGGAGTCAGGTGGGGAAGTTTTGTTCCAGCATGAACACACAGGGCTCCGGCAAAAGCCAAGAGCAATTGTAACCCACACACCTCCTGGGTGTGGTGTTCTGGCCCATCTAGTGGCACCGATACTACTTAGAGAGAGATTAATGAGTTTGCGCTACAGCCTTAACTAACAGCCATGTGGCTTTTAGCTCATGTGGTAGAGGCTCATGCATTTCGCTCCCGAGATCCCAGGTTCGATGCCGACGACTGGAACCTAACAGCGTTACACAATGTTGGGAACAAAAACAAAGGCTGTTTGGTAAACACTTGGCTGGTGTGAAATGGGCACGTAAACTCAGCTGTGGGTAAACCTGCTGCAGCAGCAAAAGAGTGAGGCGAGCCGGTGTTTTCTTGCCAGAGAAGGCGTCCCTTATAAACAAGAACTGCAGCATTCTTTAGTAATGGGCCAAACCGCACAGCTCCTGACGGTGCTCTGGGCATGCCAAGGTAAGTGCACCAATTTCCTTGCCACTGCATTGAGAGGCAAAGGACGGAGCAAGAGCACAAGGATGCCCCAGGCTTCCCATCCCCATAACACCTAATGCAGCTCAAGGGGGGCTGGGGTAGGCCACACTCCCCTGCAGCTTTGCGTCTCTCCTGACCTACAGATATGTCTGGGAAGAGAGCTCTTCCCCCTAGGGTGACCAGATGTCCCGATTTTATAGGGACAGTCCCGATATTTGGGGCTTTTTCTTATATAGGCTCCTATTACCCCCCACTCCCTGTCCTGATTTTTCACACTTGCTATCTGGTCAGCCTACTTCCCCCCCAGGTGTCAGCTGGGGGTCGGGGGCTGGCCCTAAGCCCTTTCCTTGCGCTGGCTGTGTGCAGGGAGGGCTGCTGCAGGGCAGCATGTTCTCTCTGCTCCAAGGGCCCAGCCCAGCCCAAGTCACACGTGTCCTGCTCCCTTCATGGCTGTCTGATGGATTCAGGGCTCAGATCCTACAGTGATGGGTTGGAGATACACAGGCAGGCTTCCCACCCCTCTCTCAGCTATCACTAGCACACAACGCAAACCACCCGGAGTCCCAGTGAAAGAAGTGGGGGGGGTCTGTCTGTCCCTCCCAGAGCCCCTCCTCTTGCGCCACTGGCATTGCAGCTAAAAGGAGCCCTGTCCTGTCCCCTGCCCCCATGCAGCCAGGCCAGAGAGAATGCTTCCGCCTGGGACCGTTCTACTCACAGCTGTCTCCAAAGCGTGGCCATCACAGGACACTCGCGCAAAGGGGTCCGAGGTGCCGGAGATGTCCCGCGGGGCCAGGTCTCTGGGGGGAGAGGACAAGAGGAGGAGGATGGGGGTGGGTTTCTGGGTGACTAGGGGATAGGGCAGAGGCAGGGGATGGTAGGGGCTGACTTGGCCTCCCCAGGGTGGCCAGGTGGCATTGTAAGCCCTGTTGTTGTTCTGTGTTTGGACAGCGCCCGGGACAGCTTCAAGCACTAACGAAACACAAACAACAGCCAGGACACAGGAGAAAATAAACCCTCTGAAAGGCCAGGAGGTTAAACCCTGAGGCGCTGATTGGGAGCTTTACAGACAAAATCCTCCCCCCTTCTCCCAGTCCTCAGTGCCACATGCTCTGCCCTGCTCCTGCAGCATGGAAAGCGGCACAGTAAGGGCCCTCTCCTCCCCACGCAGGACACCAGCGAGCCGGTGCACAGGCTGGCTTTGCACTGGGAGATCCAGCTGCTCCATCACCTCTCAGACAGCGGCACGAGCTGGAGTGAGCGGGGATGCACCCGAAAACTGCAGGGCTTCCCCACTCTGCATCTCACTCCTGCAGGGTGGAACTATGGAGTGGGATGGGGAGAAGCAGGGAAAAACGAAGGAGCTCTTGGAAAGCACCTATGGAGTTGGAGAAGCCCCAGGACAGCCTGGCAGGGGCTCAGCATTTGGGGACATCCCAAGTGGGTGATCGAGGTGAGAGCAGAGAGCATTCCCCCGGGGAAAGAAAAGGCCAGGAGAGCCAGAGCTCCCCTGCCTAAGCCCTGGGGAGCTGTGGGTGAAGGCTGAGAGTGAGAGGGGAAGGAAAAATGAACATGGCCCTTTAAGGGGAATACAGCCCACCCCTCAGAGCTCTCTTACTGCACCCCCCATGTCTTCTTCCCTCTCACCGTCTTTCCCCGCCACCCCCCGTCACACTCTCCCCGACTCCACCCGTCCCCCACACACATACCAGGGTCCCTTAGCCAACACTTTCTGTTCCCATGGCTACTCTCCAGGTTTAGTAGAATAGCCTCCTCCCCTGCTCGGGGGGGCCCTGCCCCATGGCTGGGGCAAGTCACAGGCAGCAGAAGGGGCAAGTCAAGGGACACAAGTTCCAGTCCCGACCATGTTCTCTCGCCCCCCTGGAGAGGCGCACTGCCCCGCGGAGAGCCCTGCCTGGTGCTTTCATCATGAGCCAGCAGGGCCCCCAGCTAGCCCTCCTTGGGCCTCAGGAATGCCAGACACCGCAGACAGGGAAGGGACAGCAGCTCCCCTAGTTCCCTGGAGAACCGCTGTGGAACTCTCCTGCCCCACAAGAAGGGGGAGGGACTGACCCACCCCCTCCTGCCTGCCCCTCTGCAGAAGAATGCTTGGAAGATGGAGCCTGCTGCATTGGCTCAGCCCATCTCCACTCCCTGAGCACTCTCCATGGCCGCAGTGTTGCCTAGGAGCCTGCGCTGGTTGCTAGGATGCCTTCTCTGCATCGTGCTGCTCTCTGCCAAGCCTCCTGGCTGGCTGGCTCCAGTGCAATGGGGCCAGGCCCCTACACTACCTTACCGATCACACTGGCCTGTGCCCCCAAAGCAGGGGGGCTGCAGCCAGAGCCACGTGACTGCACTCTTGTGTCCCCATGGAGGGAATCCCCATCCTGTGCCTAGCTCCATGTGCTGAGACCCAGAACTCAGGAATCCTGGGGTCTATTCCTGGCTCTGCCACTGGTGACCTCAGTTTCCCCACCTGTAAAACAGGGATAACGATACTGATCTCCTTTGTAAAACGCTTTGAGATCTAAGATTTGAAGCTCTAGATGAGAGCTAGGCATTATTAACACTCTGGAAGGGAATCTTAGCACTACATGTAAGGGGTGTGGGGCTGGGACCTGAGCTATAAGGAATCACTAGGCTGTCAACAAAAAAGAGAGGGGCTTGGAATTGAAGACTAAAGCTACCAAGTCACTTTAGCAGTAACTATGTTTGAAAAGGTCTGTGATGCAGCAGGTTAAGGATACTGGCCCTTTCCTGTTGGGACTCCTGGGTTCAAATCCTGCTGAAAAATAGCGGAGCAAATAATCAAGCAATCAATTTGCAAACACTTAATAAGGTGATAAGTACCAGTTAACATGGACTCTTCAAGAACAAATTGTGTCAAACTATCCTAATAGCTTTCTGTGACAGGGTACCAAGCCTTGTGGAGGGGGGGAGTGTAGATGTGGTTTATTTTGACTCTAGTAAGGCTTTTGATACTGTCTTGCATGGCCTTTGTGACATTATGCCCCATATTCTTCACAGAGATATGCTTATGATATGAATATGGCATAAGTAAGATGTATTTTATGCAAGATGGGTCATGTGAGATATAATTGGAAAGGTTATGATGTACTGAATTTGATTATCCTATTTGTATGCATGTATCATTTCTGTATCTGAAATTGAGAATATTAACTCTGTATCAATTGCAAAAGTGTTTGCACCTGGGGAACACCCACCAGACAAAATGCAATCAGTCTGGCTGGTTAGTCAATAAACCATTAGGAAGGACAATAGATCTTTGAAGATGCTAATCTCCCCACCTTCCTGAGATGCTACTTTGACACTGCAGGGTTATGTAATCATGTGACCTGGTACTGGACACCATCTTGGACTGCTGGTATTTTTCCACTAGGAGGGGGGTGGGGATCAAATTGGGAAACAAAGGATTCCCGCCATATGTAAATCCTATTTAAGGCTGGGGAGTGAGTTAATCCACTGAATTCCAGCCCAGGGTGACTGCTGGAAACACCTACAACTGAACTGGGGAAGAACTGGACCCAAGCTAGAAGGGGTCTGGCCTGTGAAAGAAATATCTGGAGTTTTAAGTTGCAAGCAAGAGCAGTTTGTCCTTAAGAAATTCTGCAACCTGCCTAAAACAACATTTAAGGTGAGAAATTACTACTTGTAGCCAATTTCCTATCCTAGCAGGTTATTGAATCCCACCCACTGCCTTCACTAGGCAGGACCAAGTACTAATTTTGCCTCAGATCCCTAAGTGGCCCCCTCAAGGATTGAACACACAACCCTGGGTTTAGCAGGCTAATGCTCAAACCACTGAGCTATCCCTCCCTTTAGTATATTAAGCCTAGTTTGCATGTTTATTGTATTTGCTCAGTAATCGGCTTTGATCTGTTTGCTATCCCTTCTAATCACTTAAAATGTACCTTTTGTAGATAACAAACTTGGTTTTTGTTTATTCTATAACCAGTTTGTGTAATTCATAATGGGGGGAGGGGCAAAAACCACATTGAGGGAGGGGGCGGATTTCATGAGCTGTACACATCTCTGTGCAACACAAGACAATATAATCTTGAGTTTGCACCACAATTGGGGGGTGCACTGGAGTGCTGGGCAATCCCTCAGCTGAGTCAAGAGAGAGAGAGTGTGTGTGTGTGTGCGCACGTGCGCTGAAGGAGGCTTGAGGGCCGGGCACAGCAGGACAAGATGAGGGAGCCAAGGCTGGTGGAATGGGCGGGCTCAGTAGGACCCCAGTACATCAGGTGGCAACCTGGAAAGGGGGGGAACCCATCACAACCTTCTCAGAAACAAACTAGGGAAATACAACCTAGATGGAACTACTAAAAGGTGGGTGCATAACTGGTTGGAAAACCGTTCCCAGAAAGTAATCATCAGTGGTTCACAGTCAAGCTAGAAGGGCATGATGAGTGGGGTCCCGCAGGGATCACTTCTGGTTCTGTTCAATATCTTCAATGATTTAGATAATAGAGAGAGAGTACATAGACCAGGAGTACTTGTGGCACCTTAGAGACTAACAAATTTATTAGAGCATAAGCTTTCGTGGGCTACATAGACAGTACACTTAAAAAGTTTGCAGATGATACCAAGCTGGGAGGGGTTGCAAGTGCTTTGGAGGATAGGATTAAAATTCAAAATGATCTGGACAAACTGGAGAAATGGTCTGAAGTAAATAGGATGAAATTCAATAAGGACAAATGCAAAGTACTCCACTTAGGAAGGAACAATCAGTTGCACACATA